GTGCTCTAGGTGACCCTGCGTGAGCAGGGGGGTTGGACTCGATGACCTCTGAGGTCCCTTCCAACCTTCGGCATTCTATGATTCTATGAAGACTATAGGAAATACAGACTCAAATGTTTTTAATTTGGTATAATGGCAAAGATTAGAGGTCCTGAAAAAGAAAGATAAAATATATGACAGACAACTGCTAATTTAAGAATTTTTACACATTGCTTCTTTTTGAAAACAGGTGTCTCTGGCCAGGTATTCCAGAGATTATTTTGGCAGTCAGAAAAAATTGCTAAAAAAATTTGAGTTGTGAGGAAGAGAGAAGGTTGTGAATTTTAATTTCCTCYCCTCTGTCTTTCTGCTCATAACCAACATTTAAATGCACATTTAGTGACTGAACAGTGGCTAAAATGGTTATTTCTGTCTAGTGCCTTCATGGACCAGTCGTAATTCAGCTGCCCAGCAAACAGTAGATGCTCGTAACTCGAGGGAAAAGGTGGCTAACAGGTAACATGGTTGTAAAGTTTATTTTTTTCCCTTCCATATTTAGACTCTCTGGAGCCACAAGCTTTTTCAGACTAAAGAGTTTCACATATTTTTGGGTCTGAGTGTGACTCACTTTTCTATGAATGTGTATATTAATACCACTGATTTTCTGGTAATAATACCATGCCTGTGATGATATGAGGACAAGCCAAATTTTCTAAAATAATAATGTCATATTAGAGCAGCTCGTATAATTATTAAAAAAAAAAAAAAAAAAAAAAAGTAGGCAAGCCTTCTGGCACATTAGTTCTTTTCCTCGTACTTAGTGCAGAAGCTATTTACTTTAAAGAGTAATACAAGTTAGGATCGATTTATCTGATTAAGTTAGCCATATATGATTTTATGATTCTTGACAGAGAAGTTATTACTACAGATATTACTGTTATTACTGTTATATACCTGTCATTAGTACAGGTAGAAGAAGGCTAAAAATCTCTAGCAATTCTCATTTCTTAATTTCCCAAAGAGCGAACTGTGGTTATATGGTACACGTGGTATGCCTACTTATGTTAAGCGTTTGCATTATAAAACAAAAGAAGAATGTGTCGAGTAAAATCTAAACATTATTTTTTCCCMTCATTTCCTTATTTATATAGAGCTTTGGAAGTTCTAAAAGGAAAAGGTCAGAGATCTTGGTCTGTTGGGCTCTCAGTTGCTGATTTGACTGACAGTATACTGAAAGACAAAAGAAAGGTTCATTCTGTATCCACCCTTGCAAAGGTAAATGTTATTAGTATCTCTTTCAGTTGACACTATAATGATGATATTACTGCACAGTCCATTAATTTTAACACTGTAGGCATTTCTGCTTATGCTATTCTGAAGTAGCACTATTTTCATTACTTTCTTCCGACACTGTTTTCATTACTTTCTTCCGACAGCTTTTGGCTTCTATCCACAAACATGCTAAAAAAAGTTATGTTAACCTGAAATCATTACTAAAAGTGAATAGTTTCTCAAAAAATACAAGAGCTCAGAGGGAAAACATTCAGGGTGGTAGACCAGTTGCCCTCTGTTCAAGGCTGCTGAGAGAAGGGGGGGAAAAAATCCACTTTGGTGTGGTTGTCTCAGTTTTTCAAATGTTCTGTATTGAACACAGGTTTTTCCAGAGGGACAAAAGAATGCAGTATCATTCATGTATCAGTTACGACAATTTAAAATTTGTTTTCTGTTGCTTGTTATTTGACCAGCTCTGAAACAGTTGCTTTTGGAACTACTTGATCCTCTACTTTGAGGAGAAGTGCCAAGCCATATTTAACTTAACTTAAAATTGTAAACTGGACCTTGACGGAAGTTTCATCCTAAAAGGCTTGCTTAAAGCATTAAGTCATTTCACTTGACAAAAAAAAAAACATGTAGAAACTTTTCATTGGTTACTTCTGTATACAGACTTAACAGTATTCAGTACATGGAAGTTGAACACAAAGCTATTTATCAAATACGGACACAGCTAATTTCTTATTTTCAAACAAAGGGGTTTTTTTAATGAAATAGAGAGAAATGACAAGTCTTCAGTACGAAGAGAAGTAATGTGTTTTGTGTACTAACAGAAGAGTCTTCCTGCTTGTTCTACTTTAAACTGGTTAAACTGTAWTTTGTAGTATGTTTTGTCAGCATTGTTGAAGTCTGATACATTCTTAAAGGAAAACTCCTTTAAGTGTGGCATAGTTCAAGGGTTTTAAGCTGTGCAGTAATATTTTGCACTACTTAAACCATAATTTTAGATCCGCACAGGATCTAAAATAACTGAAGTCTAAGCTATGCTAAGACAAAACATGCCATGTGATGAAATGACTTTCCTTAATGAAAATCATAGAATCATAGAATGCTTAAGGTTGGAAGGGACCTCAGAGRTCATSTAGTCCAACCYCCCTGCCAATTTACTGAAATTCCATACTTCAGATTAAAGGCAGAGCAGAAATAACTCTCTATGACAGGGTTGTTCTGTGTTGTTTCAGGGATGCTGCAATATAAACAGTGAAGTATTTTTAAGTCTACCTTGTATTCTGGGAACCCATGGAGTGATTGARATGGTGAAACTAGAAGAAGATCCCCTAGTGCTAGAGAAACTGCAGAGCAGCGCAGCATCAATTCATGACCTTCTGCAGCAACTGAAACTGTAAGCACACGGGAGGTTATGGTGTCTGCTCACAGAAGTTTGGAGGTTTGCTATGCAGAAAGCATTGCCAAGTGTGTATGGATTTCTCTATAAAGCAATAATTTAATTATTTACTTTCAAATTTCCTTTTCTTAAAGGTTTGATTAAACTATATATTCCAGGCTGCACTGTACGGCAGAAGATTCTTTAAAAGTGAAATTCTTGGTAGCCAAAAGAGGAGGGCGATGTGCAAGAATGCTTCACCTAAATTTGGGTGACTTTTGTCTGTACACTTACTGTTGATAATTATAGCTTCGTTCTTGGGTTATTATTAGCTCTTAGCCCCTCATTAGGACTCGGATATTAGGCCAGCAGCTTGCCCAGTTTTTAGAAACCCTAGTGTGCAGAGGCAGCCAAAGTTGTGACTCACTTTTAAAACCCTGCCTTTTAAAACTCTGCCTAAGGGGCTTGCCTAGAAATACAGTCATACTGCAGCTCCCCAGGGTCTGTGCTCTGGGTCTGGAGCTCTCATGCCCATTACAGGCACTGTAATGCCAGTGACCTCCCTTCTTGCTTATTAGTAGGAAAAAGAAATATAAACGCTTAATTTATTATCCTTCAAACTTGAAGTATTGCATATGAATTTCTGCCGTGTTTAATGATGTATGGGACTTTGTTGACATGACTTTTTCGCTCTTATTCTGTGAGCACTTCCRGAATATTAAAGCACCTGTGTTCGGGGGTATACAGGTGTAGCACTTGCACCCCCTGCAGCATTGGGGAAGAGCTCTTCCTCATGGGGAGGAGCTGGGATCAGGAATGGAATAAAGAAGAAAACCTCACAGTTGAGAAATGCAGATGTATCTGCAGCTCAGGCCTTACTCTGAAGCCAGTTGGTGTCAGTAAGCCCTGTATCAGACTGAGGGGGTCAGGCTAACGGGGCAGGCAACAGCTTCTGCAGCCCTTAGCCAGGAGGCAAAAAAAGCAGGATGTGCTGGCTTTAGGTTAATCCAAAAGCACATGGTGTGGAGTTAAAGGCTCCTTTCTGTTTTGAACTATCCTGATTCGTTGCACTGGTATAAGATTGTATTCGTCCTGATGAGACCTCAGCATCAAATTGCAGGGTACAAAACACAGCAGAAGAGAATTGTGGACTTTGAAGAACAGCGTTCTATAGCTAAGCTTTGAGGTCAGATGGTTTCATTATTCCTGGGGCTTTCTAAGCAGAAATAGGACTTGCATGACAGGTAAAGACTCTTTCACTTGTGCCTTATACCTGTATCTTGCAAAGTCAAGCCTGGAAGTAATGCTGGTTTTATATTGGTGTCATTATTAAGATGTAATTAAGATAAAGCCTTTTTTTAAAATATTTTCTTTTTCTTCCCTTGATGTACTTAAATGTCCTTCCCGCGGATATTTAGTGATGAGAGAGAATTACTGCTGGTTACAGAGCCCAGTGTAGCTGCTATATTTGGAGAGAGAGAGAGAGAGAGARARAAAAARGGAAAGCCAAAAACACCATGGCGGGACTCTTGGACTCTTTGTTTTTTCATCATTTTTAAAATATACTTGGAATTACAGTTTGCAGCTCGGTTCCTTGGGATGCTGTGTCTTAGTCGAGGAGCATTGCCTCAATGGGAATAGTCTGGGTGCTGCTTCCTTCATCTCTGCCTTCACCGGGATTTTGAATTGTTAAAAGCTGCTGGCTCTTTTAGGGGCTGATGGTGCGTGTGTCTTGAATAGCAAATGTATGTTATTCTGGAAGAAAAAAAAACACAAATAAACAAAGGATTATCATGGGGGAAAATAATTCTTTAAAAAGAAAGAATCAGACCAAAAAAGGCCCTTTCTAACGTGAAGCTGCCGCCGTGGCGGGCGCCGCCAGGCCCTCCTCCTGCACCAGCTCCGCGCGGAAGTGGCGTCAGGGCCGGGCGGAAGCGGCTGTCGCCGCCGGAAGCGGGAGCTGGCGGTCGCTTCCTGTTGATGTAGGGGCGGGGAGGCGCGGGCCAGGCCGGGCCGTTGGGAGGTGGCGGCGGCGACACCGACACCGTTGGCGGCGGCCGTTGGGCCGTTGGAAGCGCGGCCGCCATGGCGTTCTCCGAGAGCCAGCTCAAGAAAATGCTCGCCAAGGTAGCGGCGGGGCCGGGGCGACCGCTGCAGGGGCCGTGTGCGCCCCGCGGCGCGGCGGGGCTCCCTCCCCGGGCCGGGAGCCGCGCGGAGGCGGAGCGGCCGCCCGGAGCGGAGCGGAGCGGGCCGGGCCGGGCCGAGCTGGGCGGCGAGCAGCGGGAGGGGAGCCGCGCTTGGCCGGACGCGGCCGTCGGGCTGGGCCCGGGGAGGTCTCCGTGCGGGGGCATCGTTGTGTGTTAACGGCTGCCCCCTTCCCTGGGTCCCCATGCCTCGGGAGGGCTCGGCTGTTTTGTCCTTTTAGTGGGGGTGAGAGGAGGGAGGGCCGGTCAGCGGTGTGTTTCGGGAAGATAAAGCACCGGGCAGAGCGGGCGCAGCTGCTGCAGGGGTGCCCGGAGCTTCCCAGAGAGGCGTGCTCCTCCCGTCACGGTGCCCTCCCCACGTTACAGTCCCCGTTTCTGTTGAGTTCCTGCTCCCATGAGTAATGGGAGGCCTCGGATCATTTTGTGATGAGATTCCTCTTGAAAAGTCGACTGAACGATTCCTTCTTGGACAAGGAAGTGTTCCCGGGTTGCCATCACTSGACAGACTAAGGCTTTATTATGGGAGATGCCTAGGGGTAGCTCCTCTTTGTTCCTCGATTAGTTGCTTCCTTATCCATCTCTGCAAAGTGTGGAATAGGAAATGATAGCTTCCWAGTTCCAAGAGCACAAGTGAGTCTTTGTCAAAGCAGAGGTGACCCTTAGCTATGACACTGCGTTTGATATTCTTTAACATTTGAAAGAATTTATTCCAGTACTGTTTATTGGCACGTGCTTTGGGTATCAAACTTGTCATGGTGCTGGGCCCCTTTCACGGCTGAACAAAAGAAATGCCTGCACATGTCCCTGGGATGTCTGCAGACTGGCTTTTTTATTTCCTAGAAAATGTTGGTAAGGGGCGATGTCATTTTTCTTTTTCAATGGTAAATAGCAGGAGGAATGGCCACTGCCCAGGAGCCTGTGTTTTGCTGTCTTGAAACTGTACTTCTGTGACTATTAAATTCCAAATTTTGCAGTTCTGTGGTATGAATTACTTCCTGTGCCTGTAAGAGAAAGAAAGGAAACSAGCATTATTAGTGATAATCTGCTGCCTTGAAAAGTTTGCCTTCTGGTTGAAGGATAGATTTAAAATATTTATAAATACTGTGATGCATGTATGATACAGTGAAACATACTTTGAATGCCATTCAGCAGGAATAGTCAAATGCTGCTCTTTTACTTCAGAGATACCAAGGATGGCCTTTTATTTCTTTTCTTATAGTTTTCCTTTTAATCACATTTTCTGTTGTATTGCAAATTTACAAAAGCTCCRTGAAGCCCTTTAGAGCAGTCTTTAGAGCACTTTGGGTGGTGGTTTTATATGACCAGAGGAGCGTGTGCTGGTTTTCTTTGCATTTTCTAACTGAAATAGATATAATTCAGTTTCTTGTGTCAGCTCTTAATAAACCGAGGTGAACACACCCTGCAATTTCCCATAGCGATACCTTAGTTGTGGAAAGATAGCAACTGGAATGCTACCTAATCAGGAAGTACGTTGAATTTTAACTTTAAAGGCACAGTCCATCACAGTCTTAGTTTTGATCAARAATATCTTATGTTTACCATTTTAAAGGTATACAGTAGATATTTCAATACTTGTCTTTATATGAAATATAACRTGGACTGTAGTAGAATATGAATAAAAAGGCATTTAGTAGCTTTTCCCCAATCACTTGATTTTTGGACCCAAATTTAAGAAGAAAAGCACCTTACCACTCTGTTAATGTTGGTTAAGTTACACAGAATGTATTCAGTCAGGTTATATACAGAATAATATTGTTATTCCAAAGTAAGAACAGAGAAGAATGTCTATATATGATTGCAAACTCTCATAAATTTGGATTATTCAGTAAAATAAAACTAAATTAGTTTATACTGAAGATTTAGGATCTGACTATATTCTTTCACTTTTGTTTTCCAGTATAAGTATAGAGACTTAACTGTCCAGGAAACCAGCAGYGTTATTTCTCAGTACAAGGACCTCAAACCTGTTATGGATTCGTATGGTAAGTGCAAGCAAAACAATGTATTGCACTGCTGATAGCTTAGATTAAATAGTTGTTATGGAAAAAGAAGATTAAAACTGAAATACAGAATTTGAGTCTCTGACRTTATTACTTCCTTAATAGCATAGAAGGATTGTTTAAGAAAATAAATGCTTCAACTGCGCCAAGAAGTATTACATTTTTCATAGCTCAGTCTTTACCTGACCGCCGTTAGAAGTAATTTTGTGTATTGCTAGCTAATCAGCTGCTGCTCTAGAAACTGCTGGTATCTTACAAATTCAGCTTTGCTCTAATATGAAGATATTTTTACAATTGTGTTTGCTGAAAAAGTACAGTAAGTCAGTGAATAAATTCTTCAAAAAAGTCAATTGATGCGGCAATATGTAGGACTGTGACGAGTATGTGATATAGTCATGTATATGGAAAACTGGCGTGAGGGGTTCTGTAATATAAATTAGGAGTGGTTTAAACACTCCATAACATATTTCATGGGTTAACAGTAGATTTCAGTGAGTTAAATAAAGAAGGCTCCCAGAGGCAGCTTTGAGGGCATGGTGGATGTTGCAGCCATTGAGACTGTGCTACTCCTCACTTTCTGCTATTTCCATCAGCTGTTGGATCTCTCTGTGAGCCAGTTGATCTTACTAAAATACCTATAAAAATGTGTAGTATTTTGCATTCCAAATTATTATCAAGATTAATCAGTATTAAAAGAGGATATGGACAGGTAGAAGATAAGAGTTTTAACTTGTAAAGATGCATGTCAACAGTTATCGGAGAAACAAAAATTCCTACCATGGCCAGAGAATCAAAAATAAAAGCAAAAGGGCTCCCGTCAAAACAGTGTTCACAAGTTTGCATTACAATTCAGTGCTTAAAATGCACTGAAAAAGAAAATTTTCAAGTTTATTGTATCAATAATGGAATATATTACCCAGTAAAGTCAGGTCATTTTACCTGTCTCTAAACAACATTAGCACAAAAGAACTAAAAATTGATTTATTAAGTTCAAACTTACCCTTTTCTAATAATGTAACAGATGTAATGTCTAAGGGCTGATAATTCTCAGTGCTCTTGCCAACATACTTTTTTGGAGAAATCATATAGAATTGTTTTTAATCCAAAGAAATAGTTTTTTGGAGGTTGGTTGGCTTTTGGTGTGTGTTTGAGTGTCTTTGATACTTTGTAGCAATCTGAATGTGTTTTAATTTTTGTGGTTTTATGCTGTACGTGGTCTTTGAATGACAAAACAGTTTTATTTGCATTGGGGGTAGATCGATGATATAATCAGTTATTCATTTCTCAGAAATACTTTATTTGTAAGAAATTACCAGATTGCAGGCGATCATTTACTAGCCTTTAGATCTGCAAGAGCAGAACTTCGTAAGAGGACCTTATATATTTGCAACTTTTGAAAATTTAGATTAACCAATAGATAGCTAGAACTGGAACAGAGATTAGCATAAAAGTTTAATGTTTGTTTTCTTTCAGTTTTTAATGATGGCTCATCCAGGGAGTTGATGAGCCTCAGTGGAACCATTCCTGTGCCTTACAGAGGTATGCATTTATGATCATTAATAGCATGAATTATTGTTATTATTATCGTTTTCCTAAATGACCTCAAGGGCTACTTAGATTTAGTGATTCGCCTTCACTACTTCAGTGATGCCTGTTTTCTTGAAATCCCCTGCTGGTCTAAAGTGTGATATTTTAAAGGTTTTTCTTTTTCCTATTTTTGTCGTGGAAGAAGATTTTAGTATGCAGCATTGTTGCTTCATTCTCATAGAAAACATAAGTTACAGAGTTCTTAGTCCTGCACGTTTTTCAAGGTTTTCTGTAGTGTGTGGGCTGCAAACCACTTGTTGCTGTAGTAATTCAGATATCAGGAGCTAGTGATGTTACAGTACAGAACGGCAACAAATAAGATAATGTATTGGTTGTTAATGATAAGCATAAATCACCCTTGAGCTGTTCTAAGAAATGTTGAGTTTGTGGTTGTATTTGGAGTCCTGTATTAAACAGATCATTGGTAGATTTCAGCTGCATCTGTTACTACCTCTGTAAAATTGAATTTATTGGTTTAAGTCATGTTTTAAAAATCTGATTATA